CCGGCTGTCCTGGTTTGCAGGGTAGGCATGGGTCTCGCTCAGGCTTGTCTATTACCTTGCATTCAAACTCTTCTCGCCAAGTGGGCACCGCCCGATGAAAGAGCACGACTGGGTGAGAATAGATCAGAATCTGTGCCCAGTATATTCCAATCGTATCAGGAAACAAATAGGGTTGCTTTATGAAAAAATATTTAAATACATGATGTAAGTTATAGAATAGAATTATTAAACGCCAACGTTCTTTCGATTAAATCTGAGAAATAATAATTGATTACAAAAGTTACCGAAATATTGCTAAAAATTTCAAAAGATTATTGATAAACGAGTAAAGCGAGGAACTTCATGCGAAAAATAAATTTTACAGTTCTATTGTATAATTGTTTCGCTTATAGTAATATTGTGAATACATCTTCGTAATTAAGTTAATCTAGTTTGTCCTTCTCCTAAGGTACATTCGCTTATGCGGGTGGTCAGTTCGGCACAGTGATCGCTATGCCGATTGCTGGAGTTCTCGCAGAATCGAGTGCTGGTTGGCCCAGTATCTTTTATCTATTCGGTACATTATCGATCATCTGGAGCGTAGTATATTATTATTTGGGAGCAGACGCACCGTCCAACCATCGCAGTATTTCTCAAGAGGAGAGGATGTACATAGAAGAACAATTGAGAACAACTGAAGCGAAAAGCGATGATGAAGTCAAGAAGGTAAAAATTCATTATAATAATCAACTAATGACTTTGTGCTACATATATATTTGTTTTTCTTTTCAATAATTTTTGGTATCATAAAATAAAGAAAGATTTTCTTTAATTTAAAGTTTAAACATTTTTTTTTTCAACTATTATGTTCAACTACTAGTGGACAATATTTTTTAAATTTATTTAACAACTCATTAAAATTATATATGTAATAAAAGTAATATAATATATTTACATTTAGGATGATTTTGTACCTTTTAGAAGATGAAAACACCGTGGAAGGCGATGTTTACTTCAGTGCCTATGTGGGCTCTCATAATAGTTCACTGCGGACAAAATTGGGGGTATTGGACTCTATTGACAGAAATACCAAGTTATATGACAGGCGTGTTGAATTTCAAAGTTCAGGCGGTAAGCAATAAGATAGCAAAATAAAGAAAAAGAATAAGGGATATTTTTTTCCTATATTTATATTTTCATAAATTTTTCAAAATTTATTTATTAACTGCATCATTTTAATAACTATAATGTTCTCATAATTTATTCGAAACTGTTTCTTTTTTAATCACAATTACATATAATATTTTAACTAAATTAATTAATTAAAGTATACTTTTCTTTTAATAGGGCGGTATATTTTCCGCTCTGCCATACTTAGCAATGTGGATTCTGAGCTTCCCTATGAGTTGGTTCTCTGATTACGCGTTGAAGAAGAATGTATCTAGGGCTGTAGTCAGAAAGGTTTCCAACACAGTGGCCCATTGGGGTCCGGCTATAGCCCTGGCATGTATGAGTCTCGCACCCACTGATGATTATACCTGGGCCGTTGTCATTCTTGTCATAGCAGTAGGTCTAAATGCTGGATCTTTATGCGGCTTCCAAATCAATCATATTGATCTTAGTCCAAATTTCGCCGGGACTATGATGTCTGTCACCAATTGTTGTGCCACTGTTATCTCCATTATCGCGCCGTTGATAAGTGGTGTGATTGTGTCCGACGAGGTAATCGTTCAGTTTATTTTTCCCGTTTGTAAAATATCTGTAAATAGCAATCTAGTTTACTTATTTCTAAGAATTCTCTCTTTAATTAATTGTGTCTCATCTAATTTATCTATTTACTTTTTCATCCTTAATGAACTTAATTGCTTTAAGAATGATGAGTTTCTATCAAGAGCTTTCTCGCTTTTCAGAGCAGCGCATTTCAATGGAACATCGTGTTCTATGTCTCAGCAGCAATTTACTTTCTAGGTAACTTAGTATTTGTGATATTTGGTAAGGGCGAGGTGCAATGGTGGAATGATCCAGAGGCACAACCGCCAACAAAAAAACTAAGAAGAGATGAAGAGAATGAAACGCGAACTTGAGATTTATTCAACTTGATACGTTCTTGAAATTTTGTAACTTGCCATAGGACTATAATGTGTGACTTAAAATCAGTTTGTAAGTCTGAAGTTAGGACTGGAGTTGATTTATAGTAAATTTAATTTTAAACTCTTCCCAAAACTCTTCTTAAAATCGAAATTACGATCAACTACAAAGTCATTATTTATTGTCGTCATTGACGAACAGCTGTATATATCATTGCTCCGTCATAAAGTGTAATATGTGTTTTCAATTCTGTGTTATCCACATAGACCCATTCTATGTCTATAGTTATTATTCACTGCCCATTTTTTTTTCACTTATCATTATGATCATTAATCTGATAATAAAATTTAGACTTGTAAAATAAATTTTTACTTACGTTCTTCATAAAAATGAATTTTTAGTTTTTATTTAAAATTTATAAGATTACCTAAAATACGCTAAAAAGTCAAGTCCTGTAAAAAGAACTTTTCAAAATAGAATAAATGATTTATTCTGTATTATGTTTTTTTCGATATATTTATATATATATTTTTTTTTATTTTAATCTAATGTTTTTTATCAGAAGAATAAAAAGTTTCAAAATTATTATAACAACTTTTTTATTTATTAATTATTTATTTTAAAATATCTGAATTGGATTATGAACAAATTCTTTCAAAATGCCTGAAAATTTATCGCGAAAAATATATAATAAAGTTTCAATGTAAAAATATGAATGCAAATATTTATTGAGATAAACAAAGTGACTAAAAATTTATCGTAAGACATGTTCATAACTTGTAAAAATAATTGTTGTAGTAATCATTGTAATATTTGTTAGATATTTGTAAAGACACAGATTTTTATCTGTATTTAATATTATATATGAATGTATTGAGTCGGAATAAAATTTCATAGCGACATGAACTTTAAAATTCAAGCAACTGTAACTTCGTTAAAAGTGAATGAAATTTAAATTTAAATAATTGATTTTAAAACTTAAATTTGAGTTTCTGTGAAGTTAGTAATTTTTACATATGTGTAGTATGAGTTAAACAAAATGGGAAACTGTTTTCTTACATTGGGCCTATCACGTGACTAAACAAAAAAACATGGCAGAAATTTTCGACTTTCTAATGTAAAAGCTTAAAGCATTCCTAAAAAAATTATTTTTTTTTAATGTTTGTAAAATATTTTATTATCTGAATTACATGAAAGAAGCATTTTTTTACTTTGATTGTTCATAACGATGTTAAATCATTGTGCCGCAATTTAAAAAAGATTCTTAAAGCCGAAACTTTGCTCTGTTGAATGGCATAATTGTCAATATTTTAAAAACACATATAGATATGATACAAATGAAGTAGCGCTACGAACTTTTATTTCACACAATAATCAAAATGATGCACGTGCAGAACACTGTAGACATGAAAAAAAAATTAATTTTTCTATTTTGATATTATAAAATTTCTATTCTTTCTATACCTTTTAACAATTATATTATATTTTCCTGATGTGTATTGATGAATAAATATGATAGTGAATAGTTTTCGCCTTGAGAACGAATCTTTATCTGGTGCAAATACTGGTTAGTGTGATTCTCAAATCATTCGCGTTAAATACATTATCTTTATAGAACAAGATCGCGATTATTTATCGATACGCGATCGATTCGTAATCATGAAATCTCACAATAAGTGAAAAAAATAATTAAAACGTAGTCGTTAATTATTAAATCTCTTCTCTTTTATCGAGTTTTGAATTTCTTTCAACAAAACATGGTTATTTTAAATCATTTATGAAATCATTTATATATTTTGCGCGTTAATATTTTTTTCTGATTACAAAACATCGATATATGTATATATATATATATATTATCAATACTAAAAAAAAAACCATTGGTAACTAATGACTGGTAACAGTAATTCGCCTTAAGTTTCCACAATTCACATATCTTCGATTTCTCTGTAAAAAATATATATATTCCACAGAGAAATTTATGTAGAACTTTATTTTTCCATACATGTTGGAAGACAGAACAGTTTCAAATAGTTATAGCTAGGATAATAAACTCCGATAATAGGAATTGTTATCGTTCCTACGTCAGAAAAATTGAAGTGGAGTCGTCAATTTCTTTTTGACTGCAAAACATCGATACGCACATGCACACACACACACGCGCGCGCGCACGCACGCACACACACACACACACACACACACACACACACACACACATTATATATATATATAAATAATCAATACTAAAAATGAAACCATTAGTAACTAAATATAGCTAGGATAATAACCGATAATAAGAACTATTATTGCTTCTAGTATGCCAGAAAAATTGGAGCCAAGTTGTCAATTTCTTATTATTCGAACGATATCGTAGTTTGAATAATAACAGCTCGGTTATGAATTCTATGAAGTATATTTAATGGAATTAGTGAAACTGTAATGCGACGCGTTTTAATACACATCACTGCAGATTTTTAAAAAGAATAAAAGAACATGGATCACTCTTAATTAAAATTCCATTCAAGCGAAGATCCCTCTCTCAATCTAAAATAATTAATTTTCAATCCGTCTCTTTTAATAAACACACCTTTACTTCGTATGACTTGCTCTAAATAAAATTAATAAAAGAACAGTTGTCTACTTTCCTTTCGTTAAAATATTATGTTGCATTTTGCGCGTAATAACGCATGATCGTTAAAATATATTATAAATATATAAATTTATAATTTAAAGCAAGAATAATAGATCACATCGTACTATTATTATATATAATAATAATACAAATTAGAGAAAAAGCAGATTGAAAAGAACAGGTGTATAATTAAAGAAGATTAATTATGTTCTGCTGTGTAGTGATTTCAATGTTGAAGTATTGTCCGATTATTAATACGACAGCAAGTCGTGCATCGTTTAAGCATACGTTTGAGCGTAAAAGAGTGGGAGAGAATCGGTTTTCGGTGATAGTATAAAGCAACGTGGATACGGCCGCTGAATCGTAGTCGTTTCTGTAATTTGCTTCAGTGTCAACTTCATTAGAAGTTCACCATCATGGCGTCTCTACGGAGGAAGAGAGTCTCGGTAGTCTCTCTTTCGGAGAGAATGAAAGTCCCACCGAACAAACCATCAGGTAATTAATTACTAATATAAATAATATTATGAATAATATTATGTGTACGAATTACTGTGTAAAAAAATATTTTCCTCTAATTTAAAAAAAAGCACAAACATTTTGTGAATTAATTAAATTAAGTTAAATTAAATTAGTTAAAAAAAAATGAAACAAAATTATTGAAGATCTTCATCTATTTATTTATGATTTCGTAAAAGAAAATTTGCTAAATTATTTACTATACTTAAAAAGATAAGGATTAAAATGTTTGCTATTATTGAAACATATAGTATCTCACAATCCGTGATTTTAATTTTGAATACGGATATTCTCTAATAAACTTGAAGTAAATATTTTTTAGCAAAAATATTCAATTTACGTGATAAAGTATATAACCAATTATGAGTGATGTTACAAAATTTAAACGATAAAATGTTTATTAATAATTTTAAATATTCTTACAAAATTAAATAATTTAAAGATAAATTTAAGATAAACTTGAGCTCTTAAGATAACAAATAAATATAATTATAAATTACTTACTCAGGCGATTGAGAGCAGAATTTTGAGCAGTTATTCGAGCGTTATATAGAAATTGTATATCATAGACCTTATGTATACATGTATTTCTACAAAATCGAACGTTTCAGCTTAGTTCGAATATTGAATTTGTTATTGAACATTGTTGAAGATGGCTCGAACTGAGCCGAAACGTTCGATTTTGTAAAAATACATGTAAAGTCTATGAAATACAATTTCTATATATAATGTTTGAATAACTACGTCAAAATTCTGCTCTCGATCGTCTAGCAGTAATTTATAAAAATTTGATTAGTCTTTTTGATTATAATTTTTCTATATTATATAGATTTAAATGTCTTTGGGAATTATAAGGACGAACTTACACGTACAAATGAAGTGCAGATATAAACAGAGTTCTATTTAATAACAAAATCATTTTCTTAAATAGAGAAAATCTTTCTCCTAAAAAAAAATATTTCTTCCTTTTTCATTTTATATTCTTTTTCTATTTATTTATTACATGTTATTATATACTGCAACGTTTCTGTTCTTAAATTCTTTACAGAATTTACCTGACATTCGTCAGATGTACAAATTCCATTTTCTTTAGCAGTATTAGGTTCCTCTTTCACATCCTTCATCTTCATGCTAATTATCGAGTGAAAATTTTCTTATATTTTTAAAATGATTGTATAAAATGTGAAGATAATCATATAAATATGTGAGTAAAAATAATGCAAATAGTACAATAGAAACAATATAAAAATTTATACGAAAGAGAGAGAGAGAGAGAGAGAGAGAGAGAGAGAGAGAACTATCAATTATCATATTCAATAACTGAATTATAAATGAAAGCAGAGATTATGGAATTACCACGAATTATGTTAAAACGTGATGAAAACCTCGAATCAATATTGACGCACCTGTCTTATCAAGTTATTGTTCAGTGTATATAAAAAAAATATGTTTATTACATATTTATTATTCGCTTCGCGATAACTAGAGCACAAATATTTTATGTCTCATTGATGCTTCAGATTCTTATTCTGGAATGTTAAAACATATCGATATAATTCGATAATTAATAAGAATAAGAAAACATAAATTAAAATAATATAATCAATATTATAACAATACTACAATTAATACATTATTTCTTTAATAAGAGTATTTTTTTCTAATTTACGCTGCAATAAAAAATTTATTTTGCTTTTTTTCTCTTTCTCTCTCTGTATTATATTATAATTATAATTTTTTGATAATATATTACTATTTCTTTCTCTTAATCCATCAGTTTTTCCTGATCCACATGATTGACTCAGGACTATCTGGGGAAAACACATTTTGCGAGTAAAAGTTGTATTATATAACAATTATCGATTAGAATTAATCCGCATTCTATGCATTCTTCGAACGAACGGTTCGCTTCTTCGGAATGAAGAAAAAATTCAAACTCGGTTACTAAGATTTTATCGATTGCATTCGCATACCGGTGATTTCTCTGACGCAACAGGTAATTGTTGTTGGATTTCAAGCGTAAACATTGAGCGATCAGTTTTACTGACGCAATACGATCTTGATGACAATGACACAATTTGTATTCAATTCCGCGTTTATACGTGATGCCCATGTAAACTTCGTCGAGGGCGAATTAGTAAAGAATGTACTACTATTGTAATTGTAAAAATAAAGAACATAAATAATGATTGAAAAAATAGATCATTTTTCTATTTTTTTACAGAATTTAAAATTATAACATTGATTTCCACACAATGCAATCATATCTAAATTAAACAAACGATTATGTAATTTTTTCTTTTGCAATGTCCTGAAATTTCAAATCAAAATATCACAGCAAGAAAGTCCTTGAAAAAATTAAGTAAAATTAAGTAAAAGTTATTTGTAAATTCTTATTTTAAATCATAATTTTTTGAATATGAAAGTTTGAATATAGCTAATTACATACAACAATTAAGCAACCACTTGTTTAAACATCCATGAGTCTTGCGCGGCATGTGTTAATGAACAATGGTGCGCCCTTTTCAGTACATTCATGAGTAATTCTAAACGTAGTCTGTAATTGGCTATGTTTAAACTGTTATATCTAAAAAAAACAAATTGTTTAAAATGAAAAAATTTCAAAAAATTTGTTTACTTAACTTTTCAAGAGAACAAAACTTTTCAACTTTGTTGCTATAATATTTTGATTTGCAAATTTTGGGACACTCTTTATATCGAGATAAATTAATTATTTCACTATTCGATCAATTTAATACATACATACCTTGAAGGATATAATTTCTCCTTGCAGCATGGTTCGGATGTAGACATGGCCAGGTGGGACTCATGGGCCTAGGATTCTTCTGTTGTTATGCTATCCGGGTAACGACGTCAGTAACCTTGGAGGCGATGACCAATGCAGCCAGTGCCAATCCTAATTTCGAGGTACGTGTCAATGACACTGATTCTCTTTCTTATTCTCGTGATCTAAAAGAGAGATACGCTTCTTGTCTCTTTTGAAGGAGTTTTATTGGGAGGAATCGGTGAAACACATAATCCTCAGCTCTTTCTTCTGGGGCTATACCATCACACAAATACCTGCCAGTATTCTCACTCAGAAATGGACTGCTCAGGGTTTGTTTTCGGTGACCCTAGTCATCTCTGGATTGCTAACTATCGCTACTCCCATGGCCGCTCATTATGGTGGCTGGCAGATGGTGATCGCTTGCAGAGTAATGTGCGGCCTCGTCCAAGGTGCTGTTTTACCGTGTCTGCACACCTTGCTATCTAGGTGGTCGCCGCCTGAAGAGCGTGGTAGACTCTGTAAGTGTATATGTTTAATTGAACACACACATGCGAAATACTTTCACTCTTATTCTAAATGAGTTAACAAAAAAGTTTTCGGCATTTGATTAGTAAATGAGTGACGATATTCATTAAAATAAAAGTTGCGTGTACGTGGAGATTTTTGTGACATCTTATCATTCATTCGTCGAAGTTTAAAGATATTTGCTTGAATTTTAGGATCAGTTTGTAGCATAATGCTACACTGATTTTAAAATAGTTTTAGCATTTGTACATATTTCGAGCTGCTTAAATGCATCATAAAATCAGTGATTTTGTTTGTTTTTTTTACTTTGTCAAGAAACGTCGCAATTTTTAATTTTTTATTCCGATTTCCACCTGATTTGTGTTCTTTCTTTTGAAAGTTCGCATGCAGTTAGCTATATATTCACTTTTGTTTGATACTGCATCACAGAAATGCAAATGAATTAGCAGGCACGTCAAGTTTGATACGTATAAGAGATAGGAAAAATTCTTATCGTAGTCTGGTGATACCAAATTGATAAGGCACGTCAAGAGTCTCGTGCCAAAAAAGCTATTAAAGATTAATATTTTATATTATTTTATAATAAAAAGAATTCTTACAATTTCGATTATCTAAGTTTATAATTAAAAATTATCAAAGATTCAAAGAAAAAAATAACATTTTTTTTTCATTAATTAGCCTAATGATAATTATGTTGAATTTTGACCCAAAAGAATTGTGGTTGTAATACATTTCATGTATCTCTAGCAACGTTTGTTTATTCCGGCGGCTGGATCGGCAACGTAATATGCTTATTAAGTACCGGTTTCCTCGCGGCATCGTCCATCGGCTGGCCTAGCTGTTTTTACGTTTGGGGAAGTCTTGGCGTCCTCAGCGGCATCTGTTTCTACCTGCTCGGGCAGGATTCACCTTCCGAACATCCCAGAATATCTCTTGACGAAAAGGAATACATTGAGACGAGTCTGGGAATAACTGAGATCAACGAGGTAATTCCTTCAATACGTTGCACTGAGAGAAGAAAAAAAAGAACAGAAAATCATACATCAGTTAAATAATCACTTTAAATATATATCAAAAAATTAAAATTAATTTGAAATTTAATATATGTTCATATAATTAAATAAATAAATAATTTTAGATTTAAAAAGTCTCAGTTGCAAGTTCTTTAGATTAAAATTTAGAGAAATAAATGTCTTTGTATTTTTTACACGTTGTTCTTCCTTCGTTTTCAGAAACCCTCCACTCCGTGGAAGTCCATATTAGGGAGCTTGCCGGTCTGGGCATTACTGATGGCGCAATGCGGACAGTCCTGGGGCTTCTGGATGCTGCTGACGGAAATCCCATCCTACATGAGTTCGATTATGCGTTTTGATATCAAGAAGGTTTTTCATATAGTCATACAGTAAATAACTTCCGTTAGAATTTCATCCTTCGTTTTCTCTCTCTCTTATCGAATTATTCTTTTGCAAGATTTCGAAAAACCTTGAAATTAGCACTCGGATAAAGTCGCACGTATATTCCTTTAACTTTGAAAATCGCCGCGTTTGGAATATTAATTAATAATTCGATGTGTATGTTGACAAGATCACGAGGGAAGAATGATTAATATGCCACTTGAGACTTAGGTCAATTCAAGCATCACGGACATGAACATTAAACTATTCTGATGTCGTATCGTCAATAAACGAGTCAATGACGGCTGAAAAAGAATTAATGAAATATCAAGATATCTCTTATCGCTTAGTTCTTTGCATATAATTACATTTTTTAGATAAATTTTAACAAATATATATTCTATTAGGTGTTGGAATTAATTCGTAGCGTTTTTAATGAAAGAATGTTATTTATTTCACATGAGCATTAAAAAATACATTAATGAAAGTAGAAGTTTCCCATCACTTGTAAAACGCTACGAATTAATTCCAACACCTAATATTTTTAAATATAAACTTAATATAACACTTTCTTTTTACTGTTAAAAATATTCTATTAACATTAAAATCTTAATTCTTATTAATATGAACTATTCGACATAAATAAAATATCACTTTAAAATCAAATCTATATATTGTATCAATAAATAAATCAACTGATATATCGAACAATTTGAGTAAGAAACATTTTATAGTAATATTTATAGTAATATTTCATTAAATGTTTATTAAAATAGCATTAACTAATACTATGCATTTATGATTGCACAGAATGGTATGATGACGGCGTTGCCCTATTTATCGGCGTGGCTCATCAGCTTTCCGATTAGCCATATATCCGATCTGTGTATCAGAAAAAAAATCGTGACAACGAAGATGTCTCGGAAGATTTGCAATACAATTGGTCATTGGGTGCCGGCAGCTGCGCTGGTTGGGTTGGGTTACGTGGGGCAGGACCAGCCGGAATTGGCTGTGGGTATCCTCATCATCGCTGTGTCGTGCAACATCGCTGCTTTTTGCGGCCATAACATTAATCACATGGACCTCAGTCCGAACTTCGCTGGTCCGCTTATGGGATTTACAAATACTATTGCATCTGCCTGCGGCATTCTCGCACCGCTGATCGCCGGGGTGATCATCAAGGATTCGGTTTGTGACAATATAACACATTATAATTATTTGCATTGCTAGGTGTCATTTAATGTCGTCATCTCTCCTGTTTAGACCAACATATTGCAATGGCGAAGCGTGTTCTTTCTGTCGGCCGCAATATATACGGTGGGCAATCTAATCTTCATCCTATTCGGCACCAGCGAAGTGCAAAAGTGGAATGATCCAATTGAAAGCAAGAAGGATAGCGTCATGCGAAAAGTATCGACAGCACTGGTGACCATCGCGAAAATACAGGAAAAGGAAGACGAGAGAATTCCATGACAATCCATGACAAAAAAAAAATAGAGAAACGTAATATTATGAGGCAATAATAGATTTGTTTCCTATTTTTTATATTTTATTTTTCAATTTATGTATTTATCTGTGTGGATGTGTGATTTCTTGTGATAACTTCTGAATGATTTAGAATATTAACATTATCTCAAAAAAGCGTGTATATAATACCTTGACCATTAAAATGCTTTGACTAGAGAAGTTGAATATAAATATCAAAAAATATATATACACATATATATATAGAATTCACGTCGACTGCGTACATAGGACCTACCAGAACAATTTCTTTTTAATTTACCCTCAAGAATATGTAAAAATAAACAAAGAAATTAATTCCATCCAATTAATTTCTATTCTAGATTCGGCGATCACAGAATTGCTGCAACTTGTATCAAAAAGTTTAGAATTTAATTTAATTTAGATAAAAAATTTTTAATAAATTATTAATACATTTCATATAATGTAAAAACATTTAGTCTTATATAAATAGAAAGATGGATATCTGTATAATATATGTCTTATATAAGAAGAGAGATTCAGTATATGAAATCTAATTGTAAAACATTCATTGATAAAAATTTGATACATACTCATACAAAACTGCTTATATATTTACATTCTTCATTAGCTCAGTCTTCTTTCGGATGACTTTGCAATGCATTGATCCAAATGGCATGCCCAATAAATATCGCACCGATAATCGTTGTCACTAATGTGGCACAAGTAACAAAGAGCGAGAGAGAAGAGTCGCCAATTGATATCCGCCAAACGTAGTTGCGATTGTTCAACATACGATATGGAATCTCACGCCATTTGGCCATTAGTCCGACACATGGTTCACATAAATCTATTTTAGATACCCTGTGATCTCTGATCCTCTTCCGACATCCCAGCAGCAGCTTCATTTCAAGCAAAGTTACATTAACATAACCGCCTGTTTCATGTGCATATTGATAACGTTGGTGAACGGGAATTGTTAAACTAGAGGATGACGAACTTATGGATGCGCAAGTTGTCACGTTCTGCTGACCAGCCTTCTCTGCAAATAATTCGACGTCGGTCTCGCCAACGGAGCATATGGTATTCTACAATATTAATATTATCAATTAATTAGATGATTGCTCAAAGAATGATATTATATTTATATCTATATTATATATATAATGAAATAGAATATAGATATATCTAAAATGTACATGTATGATATTAATATAATTTTTTTAGATAAATATATAGTTAAGTTATTATTCTCTCTATATAAATTACATAAATTTAAGATGTATGAATTACAAAATAACAAATCAATATGAATAATATAATAGCTTTGAGATTTGTAATATTTACATAAAAGATAATGTTAATAATTCTTTAATTTTATATTAATGTGATCAAAATTCAACAATTTTACAAAGTAAATTAATAATTTTATATGTATAAAACTTAAAAATAAAATGATAAATTTTAAGATTTTAAGATTCGTAATTATATTTTTTTCAAGTTACATTAATTAATGAATAATTAAGGAGTATACCGTTCCTCTTCTTCTCATTTCTGCTATTTCGTCTGTATTGACGTACAATGCTGATGGTAATTCCACGTAAATAGCAGCTTGACAGCCATCCTGGGTAAGATTCTTGAAGTGTATCCGAAAAATCAACGTTCTGCAAAAGGGAGAGAAGTGTTAAAAATTGCACGTGGACTCTACTTGTTTGTATACACAACAAACTACAATTTCTAACCTATGAAACCCATTTCCTTCTACATCAAAATCGATCTCGGCTTCGATTGCCGCACAAATCTGCACACGAAGTATACACAGGAACAAGACAACGATAATTCGCAAAAGATTCAGTTCGCGGACATGTGTTGTCATTTTAGATCACATACTTTTGACGTTTTTGACGTTTACGTATATATTATGCATAAGTGAGATTTCCCGGTTGCCATTCGATCTGTTTTCTCTTCTTGCACTAGACTGCTTTAGAAGTCTCTTTCTCGCTTTTGACAAATATCAAACATACACCTATTTCACTTTAAGTTCCAAAAGTGTACACTGGTTTAGCCACAGACCTCGTCTCTGTTCATTACCGTAACCGTGTGCCGTATGACGTAATCAAAAATTGACCAATCACCTTTGAATATTCTCTTCTTATAGTCAAATGGGAGGAGAATATTCGACTTTGGTCTAGTTTCCGCCGAGGGTTTAAACCGAATCAAAATGTAAAAATCAACCAACTACAGAGCATTTCCCTCTCGTTCGACTGTAACAGGGGAATACTCGATTGGTTCTTACATTCTTAAACCCTCAGTGGAAACTAGACCAGTGTTACTAATCTGTATAAATTAAAATCATGTTGCTTAGGGATTTTTATTAGTACCAACATTTTCCAGTTCTAGTTTTTTCGGGAAAATGTCATGTGACCGACATTCGGCGACATCTATAGAAAGAGAGAGACGCTTGCAAACTGAGCACACTATAGGTCTGTTTTTTATTGTTGCACTCTGAACCGATGCAATAAGTTGAAGTGCAATAAATGTATATTTTATATTTATATCAGTTTAGAAAATGCAGCAATACAAAACAGATGTTATCCCTTCCACCATACACTAGACTGCACAACTCTTTTTCTCGCTCTTTCAACAAATATCGAATATATTGTACAATATATCTATCTCACTTTAAGTTCCAAAAATGTAACTAGTATACTTTTGGAATTTAAAGTGAGACAGGTATATATTCAGCCATAGAAAACAAAATATAATTTCTAATATAAATATAAAAAATTGTATATTATATCAGTTACAGATGCACTTGTGACGGTGCGTCGCATTTACATATAGATATTCATGTTTACTGCTGTGTGTTCTGTCATCTTTCTAGTGTGGATAAAATAAAAGAGGATTTGCAAATAAGTAATGGAATGGAGCTTTATGGAGTGTCGATTTGTGCTATTTATTTTACTTATTTATATTATTTGATCATATTCGATTTTTTGATATTTTTTTTTACATTCATTACTACATATTGTTTATTACTGTAAAATGGAGTAACTTTAATTTGATTCAAATTTTAAAAATATATATTGGCTTCAACAGAACGTTTATATTTTGCAACTGTTAGAAATTTTCTTAATTCGCGCTGATTGGATTATACTTTTAGATCTAGAAGAATGATCTTATTTCAGCAGATAAAATTCGATTGCAAAACTATTATTCCGTTAAACGCAACCATTATTAAAATTTAGGCCAAAGTTACTCCAATTTTGGTCTAATAATTAATCGAATTTTTAGATCTAATTAATTAAACTCTGGCAATTCTTGAAATTTTAGATTTAGTGTCATCCAATTATGTGTGTATTTCTAATATTTTATCAAATCTTGAAGGTTTAAACATTCAGACAAAGATTTAACAACGATTCTTGAAATTCAATATGTGCCACGTTTTCATTAATTATTTTTTTCTAATATTTTATTTTTGGAAATATATTTTTGTAATTTGTAAGATATTGATTAAAGCATATTAATTAATAACAGTCAATAAGGTTACAACCTACTTTATCATGATTAAATAAGTATCAGTCTTCGAATTACTGACATGAAAAAATTACAAAAATAAATAAAGTTAGGGGCTCCGCACAATAAAAGGAACAGGGAACAGAGAACAGAGAATAAGAATTTCAACCTATCAGAAATCATGTATTGTGGAATACACAATTTCTCTAGGTTGAAATTCTTATTCTATGTGTGGAGCCTCTTAGAGTAGTAAGACATAAGAAATTAAAACTGCAAACATCACAATTTTATAAATTATAATTATTGTAAATTCTGTTTCGCTATATGTTATTCTTCTTTGCTTCTAATCAAGCAAACTCGATTATTCCGGTGTGAATCTCGCTTTAATAGTTCGCTGATCTCTTTCATGTTGCGGTCTTGCGGTATTGTCAGGTGTTGTTTCGCCGCTGTCTTGGCACATTAATTGTTATATGCGAACAGACGGATTATTGCCGAGGATCGGGATGCCGATAATGAAATGACGTGCACAATCAACGTGATCGAGTAACGCGATGAGAGAACGATGATCTCAGCGTGCGGTTTGTCCCGTCGATGTCGATCACAAGTGAATATAAATTCGCGCGCTCCGATCTAAATAAGGTTAGATTCACGAAGTAGTTTGGATAGTTTGCACTCGCGCGCCTTTAATCCTGCGAAATAAAATCATGTCGTTTCATTCGGAGAGGACGAAAGTGGAAACCAACAAGGTAAGTCGAGAGACGAATATACATTGGCGCATACATTATTCTGGAATAATAAGAGAAAGATTGTATATTATATGTGCAGAAATTGGAATAAACTTTTAGAGATCTTTGTTTATTGCAGTTTTAACATTTTTATGTCATATTGTTGAATGAGCTTTGTTTAAGTTCTCTTTATGATGAATTACAAATAACAACATATAAAGTCTCTCTCATATTCTTGATCTGGTTACTATAAAATATTGTCCAACGGTAAGTCTATAGGTCTGTTCTTTTTCCATACTCTAGAACTAAACTTCTTGCACGGTTCATCCTTTTTCTTTTTACATCGGAGAGGAAAAGACAAGATAAACTGTGCAAGAAGTTCAGTTTTGGAATAAGGAAAAGAACAGACCTAAAATTCTATTTAATTCTCCAATAAAAGGTAAAAAATCTTGCTTTAGTATCTCAAACGGCTTGAAATTCAATTATGCTATTTTTTTACAGGTGAACGACATGGACATTACATCAGACTTTACTCGTCTCAAGGTATCTGTATTGGAGAAGGCGTCACGTATATCAGCAACTACAAAAGTGGATCGTATCACGATCGGACCTCAATCGACGCTGTATGAAGAAGATTCTAACAAAGCAGACAACATTGAAAATGAGCAAAATTCCTGTAACATTAAAAGTCCACAGAGAACTATTACTAGTCCCAAACACAACATGGTGGCCACTTCAAACGGCATTCATTTCTCAGTCAATAAGATTGATGCGGAGAGTGAACTGCAAAGAAAAGAGGAAGTCTGGGTATTTTGATTGTTATGATGTCATACATATAATACATATATTGATTAAATATACATCTCAATATTATTTTTAATTAATTTTTACATAGACATATTCATTTCAGTCAAGGGGATATCAAGATTCATATCTTCATATACACTTATTAAAATACTTGTATGAAGTTTTTGAGAATTTTCAGCAAACTTTCTTGCGAATTATACTTGAGCCATGCATTGGCCAATAAGCCATTTAATTTTTCATAAAAATGATTTTCATAATTTAGAAATTTCTAATTGTTTCTCTTTGCTAAAATTTAGGGAAAGCAAGCATCTTCATGTCTTATAAGTTTATATTTTTTATATAATTTTATTATTAAATAAATGGTATAAAAACTTCTATGAGTTTATCTATGAGTAGTAATTTGAAATAAATATAATTTTAGTTATTAACAAAATGTATAAACAATTGATATAGTAGACTTTGAATAGACGAGTAATTTGAGATGAATGTTTAACTCTAATGAAATTCTCTGTTGAAAATGATATTAGGAACATAATGTCACACTTACATTGATACTTCTTCTATTGTTATTTCTTCATTTGTATTGCAGAAAGTAATAGACCGTCGCATTCAGCATATGAACGAGAATGCTCGGGTAATTCAAGAACAAATGGCAAATTCGCGCTCATCAATGGCACGTGAACGCGAACGCCGGAGTGAGGAGAAATTGGCATACTTCTTAGCTGAAGAGGAACGGTTGGCAGAGCAGGAAGAAATCAAGAGGCGACATGAGCAACAATTGCAGGCACAGCGCGCTCAAGAGCAAAAAGAAAAGCTTGAACGAGAGATGGAGGAATATCGAAGAAGAATGAAAGAAAAGGAAAGACTGATAAAGACTGTGTCAGTCCATCGGGATCAGTTCACAGCCAAGTATTGTGACCTCGTGGCATTATCCAAGACCTGCAAAGACCAGCAAGCATTCAGTGCGATATTCACCGCAAATAACACGATGATAAGAGATGTGTTCCAACGAATCGAAGCTATAGATGAGAAAATCAGAGTAATTATTGAAAAGAAAAAAAATCTATTTGCAAGAAAAAAATGTAAAATTAAATATTTTTCTTAAATATTGAATTGTATTTACTAACAAAAAAGAGATAATCATGAATTTTTAGAGATTTTTTTTTAGAACATTTTATAGATATTATATAACACTTATTTAATAATTGATAAATGACTGATATTTTTGTCTGCTTTATAGAATGGAGAATTGGTAGCTGCAGATGAAAATCTTATTGAGAGTTTGATTTGCCACTTTAGTGATATATTAAATGTATTTCGTATAGAAACAGGTTTGTGAATTTTCTTACAATTATATTTTTTTAATCTTAAACTTGTGTTAAATATACTTTGTTACACATTGTAGAAAAAATTAATGCTCAATATGAAGCGGAATTGGCTCGAAAAGCGCAAGCTGCAAGTTTGATACAGTCAGTCGAAGAGATAGACAATGTTCCAGTTAGTAATGCAATACCTTGTCAACAACCAGATGAAAACAATGTTGTGGAAAATAAAGAAGATGATAGTTCCAATGTGATAACGAATCAAGAAGTAGTAGTTACATCAGTTAACGAAGTAATCGCACCATCTGTATCTGATCCTCAGTTAGAAGATACGACTAAAAATTCTGCATGTAAAAAAGGTGGATAAGATCTCTAAAAGCATATAAGATGCATTTGAAGTATTTAATTTAATAATTATATATATATATATATTTGCAATTTTATTTCCGTTTTATATCTACTTTACATTCATATCTTGACAATCAATTAAATCTAATATAATAATAATTAATTTTCTATCTAAATTTAGATTTCTAATTAAACAGATTAATTAATTTATAATATTATAAATTTGTAGACGATCCCTTTGAGTATATCGATCAGGAATCGTTCGATATTTATATCAGGAGCCATCAATTCTTGAAGCATTATAGAGAAACTTGCAAGGATTTTTTACAATCGCCTGCAACAAAGAAATTTCGCTTCGAGTGTCAAAAGGCGATCAATATCCCTGTAAACGCGATTTCTGGTGTAAGCGAGCAACACTTGAGAGACAAATATGACAGACTGCAGAATCTCTTGACTGGAAAATTGTTACCTAACGTCACACATCATCCACAAGGAGTAATTTTTTGTAAAAACCATCTAGCGAAAAAGATAGTCGTATGTATCTTTTTAAAATTTATAATTACAGGACAATATATTTAT